TGGAGCAGCCCTGTGCTGCCAGGAAAGCCAGGTTTGTGGCCCCATTGCACTGAAAATTCTTTTCTGCTGCAGGCCTGCCATCAGATATGGTTTTCTCAGGCCAGCAGTCTGGATGTGAATACCAGTGCAGGTGCAGTTAGTGCTTGGTTGCCTTCAAGTTTCACAACCTGTGCTAATAAGTGGTTAACCTTGCTGATCTCCAAGTAGGAGCAGTGCAAGAGGGAATGAAGTTTGAACTGGGGTGGGTGGGATAGAGAGAGCTCCACAATGCAATATTCAAGGCTATCTCCTCTTTTATTTTTACCTAATATTTAAGAGCCTGTCCCTAGACAATGAATTATCTCATTATTGAGTTACTGTGTTTTTCTTCAAGACATGATCCAAACAAATCTGCTCTTTCAAACTCAAAGAAGTGTTATTCGACTGCCTAAACAGCCTGAAGGTGGACAAGATGGAAGGTAATGCACATTCACTGTTTAACAATGTCTCTAGAGGACAGCACCTGTCTGCTAAGAAGTTCCTCCTACCTGCCTAGAATGCTATTTTGTATTTCTTAAATTCATTTCTATTCCTGAAATGAATATGTATTTATTAAATTCATTCTTTTCCTGACTGGTTTAACAGTACATTTTGCAGTGACAGTATTTGTGAATTATGCAATGCTTCTGTAAAGCTGTCTGGAGGGACATTTGGTGGCAGTCTCTGGCAGCTGTGAGAGACCACTGGAGTAGATCTGCTCTCTCTGTGAGAGGCAAGGCCGCATAGGGCTGACACAACTGTGCCAGGAGCTTTTATTCCTTGATTTATGCCCCAAAACTGATAAATAAACTGTGCAGCTATTAGGAGTGAGGCACTGCCAATCCCAAGAGCTGTGGTGCATATGGATGTCATCCCTTGAAAAGCTGAGGATAAACTAAAACTCAGAACAGGCAAATCCACTGAAATGAAGTGAATTAGGGGCACTTACTTTAGATACCCTATCTTACGGCTTTTTCTAAGAGAAGTTCACCTTAACACATCTGCTATAAATGTTATTTGTGGTACTGATTTATTTTAATAAGAGCCGTCTCTGCTTTAGAAAGTCACCAGAAGACAGTGCATGTGAAGCTAAAGGTTCAAATAAAGTGCTGGTTCAACCTAAGGTGTGTTCATTCAAAAAGCAAACACACTGTAGCTCCTGAATGGATGCCTGAAGGGTGCTTTAGAGCCTGTGGTTAAAGTCTCCAGAAGGGGGATTTGGTTAGGACTATCACCAGCTGACTGGCTCCTTTTTCTATTCTGTAGCCAAAACACGACTCTCTTGCATCCTGTCTATCCTCCACAGTGGGACAAAACTGCTCTACCTGACATCGGGTTTAAGGTAGGACTTTCCAGCTCCCCAGTGGATGGGGAGACCTCTGTCCTGCACTGATTTTTCCAAGACCATAATTCAAGGCAGTTGAGATGTTACCAGCTTTTAAAAATGTATCTTGTAAAATAAGCAACTATGATGTGAAACATGACCAATAGTTTAATATTCAGAATAGACATGCGTTTCCTGGGAGGCTCACTGAGATCCCCTATGATGCCATACAGGGTAAAAAAGGCCATTGCTGCTCATACCTGTCCTTTGCACTCTCTCAAGGCACTTCATCCTCTGACAAAGCAGATTAATTGCATCTGAAGGGGGCATTTCTTCTCTCAGTTTGGGGCAGGATGTTACTTGCTGTAGTAAAACTGCAGCTTAGCCCTGTAGGGAAGGAGCTAGAGTGTCAGGTGAAGCTTTCTCTCTGCTTCAGCCTGAATATTGCTGTGTGTTTCAACTTCAGTTTACTCTGAACTAAAAGTAGTCCAGCTGTGGAGGTGTGTCCTCTAAAGGAAGCTCTCATGGGATTGCACTGATTTCCCTCAGTCGGCGCCTGGGCTTCCCCATGGGGAGTGATGGTAAAGGAGGGTTAACAGGGAAACCAGGAGCAGCTTGTGATTTTTCTGGTAGGGCTTTTCAGCAGATGTGAGAAGGTTGATGAGTCCTTTGGAAGGACTGGGAGTTTATACTCTTACTAATACCTTATTTTTAATGTTTTAAAAATTTTCAGTTGATACAGCTCAGTTACGATTCCCAAGAATATAGAAAAATCAAGAGTCTATTTGAGAAGACAATGAAAAATTACTGCATCAACCAACTCCAGAGGATCCAGAACCCAACACTTTGGGACATTTTTCAGTGGTTTGTATCTATTTTATTTCATTATCCTTACTGTATGAGAAGACTGGTATTTCCTGATCAGTTGTCCTCCATAGACTACATTTGGAGCCGCCAAATTCAGCAGTCCAGCAGAGGCGAGGCTGCCGTGTA